GCACTGCCCCACCAGCACTGAGCAGTGCCCACAAACTGTCTCCCCCCTTCCCCAGGGTAGGGACACCCCAAAACCCTCCCAAGGGGCCAGGCAGCACAGGGAAATGGCTCTGGGAAGGGGCTGGGTGCCAGGTGGGGGCACAACCCACAGTCAAGAGAACAAGGGTGGGTCCTGTCCCCTGTGGAGGAGCTGGTGCCCCTCAGCCAAGCCAGGCCTGGGGCAGCTGTGGGGGTTCAGCCCTGCCCGACCCCACCTGCACAATTAATTTAAACTCTATTAATTAAGGACCATCAGGGTGCCTCGGGGGTCCTCGGGCTCCTCATGCCCACCTAGAGCCGGTGGCAGGGACAGGCCCTGGAGCATCACCCTGTGATCCAGCCCCCCCTGTTCAGCTTCCATTCCATCCCTGAAGCTGCAGGTGGGAAGGAGGACAGAGGGGTCAGAGGGTCCTGGAGGGCACAGGGAGGCCACCACAGTGCCCCAAACGGCACCGTGGCCCCTGAGGGGGGACACAGCCCCAGAGCCCGGACTGCTCCAGCCCTTTGGAGCAGCTGCAGTTGGGAAACAGCTGGAGCAGAGCTCTGAGGATTGGGAAGGGTTTAGCCGAGCCCAGCTCGGCTCTGTGCCCCGGCAGAACAGACAGTGGGCTCAGGGGCAGCTGCTCCTCCTCGGGTGGTCTCATTCCCCGCTGGCAGCAGCATCCAAACCCAGCTGGAACCCATACCAGGCCCCTTCAAGGTCACTGTGATTCCTTCTCCCGTTGAATTCCTTATTTCCCTGTTCCTTGCAGCTCTTCTGCGCCATCGCTCATGAAACTCCAGCCCGGGGCCATCCGAAGGACAGACAGGCAATGGCAGGTGGCACAGGGTGCTCCCCACCTTGGCAGGATTCAGTGGGGTTTGGGGTTTTTTCCTTTAACCAAACCAGGAGTTTATTTAGGAAAGGAGAGGCGGCTGCTCCTCCCCCTGAGCTCTAAACGGTTCTGACACTTACCCAGGCTGGAACAGCAGCACAGCCTGGGATGGAGAGACCCTGTGGGCTCAGCCTGGAGAAAAGGAGGCTCAGGGGGGACCTTCTGGCTCTGCAACTCCCTGACAGGAGGGGGGAGCCGGGGGGGTTTGGGCTCTGCTCCCAGGGAACAGGGACAGGAGGAGAGGGAACAGCCTCAAGGGAGATTTATATTGGATATAAGGGAAAATTTCTTCCCCAAAATGTTTGTCCGGCCCTGGCACAGCTGCCCAGGGCAGGATTGGAGTCCCCATCCCTGGAGGGATTTAAAAGCCCTGTGGGTGTGGCACTTGGGGACAGGGGTCAGTGGTGGCCTTGGCAGTGCTGGGGGATGGTTGGACTCGATGACCCCAGAGGGCTTTTCCAATCCAAACAATTCCATGATTGCAGGACAAGGCTGCAGCCCAGGTCAGGAACTGCTGAAGAGGGAGATGGAAAAAAGGGACACGAGCGCTGACAGACCCCCAACACCACAAGGATCTGCTGGAGGAGTGTGGAGAAACCACACCATCCTCATGGGCAGGAGCTGCTGCCCTCCCCACCTCGACTTCTGGCCACTGTCATATGACAAAGGAACAGGTATTTTCTCTATTTTACAAGCAAAATACTCCAAATATAACTCATACTTGGAGAAAGCCACCTGACACAGCAGCTCCAAGCCATCACACACCACCACTATTTTTTTTTTTTCCACAAATCATTGGTTTATTAGAAAGGTTTTTTTTCCCTCATTTTACAGCATATATATATATTTATATATATATCTTATGTGACAAAGTTAAATACAGTCTGTTTATGCTCGTTAAGTAATGACAGGTTAATTATTTTTAGCGCTATCCTGGAAGTCCGAAAACAACCCCGGGATGGGGTCGGGCCCTACAAAGCTCAGCTCTGACAGTAACACTGAATTGTTGGGTATTTACAGGAAATTGAGTCCCTTTTTGTGACCCCTGTGTCACTCTGACCCGCTCCAATTTCTCATTCACACAGTGAGGAAGCTCAGGGGGGGTCTGATCCTTTGACTCTGCGCTCCAGGAAGGGACAGGGAAGAGGATGAAGATGGAGAAGGGGACAGGGATGCCACTGCATCCCCTCGCTGCCTGCTCTGAAATCCCACCCCACAGAGCCCCAACCCTGGGGTGCCCCAACCACTGTGACACGAGGGGACCTGCACCTGCAGTGCCCATGTCAGCAAACCACGCCCTGTGATGGGACAGGGAAGCTCCCGCAGGCACTGCTGGAAGAACTAGGAAATCCCTCATGGAATAATGAGTCAGGCAGCTCCAGCTCAGTGTGACCCTGTGCGTGGGGTGGGAACAGTCCCAAGGCTCTCCCTGCACCGGGAGCCTGTGCACATCACTGCTTCAAACAAGGGAAAAGGAAAGAGGGGAAAAAACAAAAGGGGTATCTATACCCTGGGAAACACTCTGAATTCCTGCTGCTCCCCACGCTGCTCCAGTGCCCATTCCTATGACAGGGAGGAGAGAAGCACCTGCTGGAGTCACCACTGCCCCTACCCCCTCACTGTGCCCAAGTCTCACCTGCTGTTTTTTGTTTTTTTTGTTTTTCCTTCTGCAAAATTCTAAATGATTTTTTTTTTTTTTTTTTTACATTTTATAGTACATAAAAACTTCAAAAATACATGAGCTTGGTAAAATATACATGCTTAGTTCGTTCTGCATCTAGCTGAAACTATAAATTGAACCTTTACAAGTGTCTTGGGTCACCTACAGCAAACATATTTACACAGAAGCCACCAGAACAAGTACCACTAAGAACTGGCTGTAAAAAATATTATTGCGATATACTACAAATGTAACCTTTGATAGGAGCTACAAAAAGCAGCATCTTTGTTTACAGAGTTCAGTGCAATTTTTTACATTAAAAAAAAAAAATAATCCTATAAATTAATAAGGAAACCATCAGTGTTACAGAGGACAGAACACGCTTCACACCCCCGGCCGTGCTCCCCGTCCTCTGCGTTTGCTTCAATTCCTAACGGGGTTTTCCTTCTCTCGCCCATCCCAGTGCCTTTTTCCCCAACACCACAGAAGATGGAAGTCAGAGTGATTTCTTCCCCCCCTCCCTTCCTTCCTTCCTTCCAGGAGAAGAGTGGTCAAAGCCCAGACTGGAATTGGCCACCCCAACGAGAACCTCTCTCCAGTCCGGGATGCGCAGGTGCGGTCCTGGCGCAGGAGAACACGGATGCAGGACGGGGAAGGACGGGAGCTCCGGGCACACACACAGCTCCTTCTCCTCTTTACTTCCACCTCTGCTTCTCACACCAAGAAAAAGCCCACATGTGCAGTGACAGGAGCTGAGAAATCTCCTTTAAGGCCTGAAAAGCGAGGCCCCCTCGCCGGGATCCGCAGCCGACAGCTCCCGAATGTTCCATCGCCAATTACACAGCGGATTCAATCATGCTGACTATTTTAATTAGATGACCTCATTAAAAGGATTTTGAGAGACCTATTAGTGTGGATGAGACCTCATTTATTATATACAAGGCGGCAGAAGGAAGATGACCAAGTGTAAGAATCCAGGGGGGGGAAGAAAAGAAGCTTTTCCAAGCCTGTCTCGCTGGTCTGCGGGTGAAATGGTTCTTCTGGAACGGTGCTGCGGCGTGCACGGAAGTGTCGGAGCGAGACATCCCCGGGAGTGGAT